ATGTTTAAATGTGCATTATTGTTTATATATTTAAATATTATTTTCTTATCTAGGGCACTTGCACAGCTGAGAGTATGTCCTTGATGCAAGTATTTTCATTTCTTATTGATAATTTATGTATCTCAAACATGAGAATGTTTATTCAGATACTGGGCCATTTATAGACTGGGCTATTTATCCTTTAAATTATTAAGTTGTAAGAAATTTTAAAATGCATTCTGAATACAAGTTTTTCTTCAGTTAAATTATTTGAAAAAAATTTTTTTTTGCTTTGTATGTTTCTTTAAAAAAAGGATGTGAGCAATATCAGAACTCCAATGAGTTTTATGCCCAGATCTTAAAAATTCAAAATTTCAGAAAATTTTTAAGAATTTAAAGAAATTCTCTAAAGTAGTATCTCAAACGGGAAAACACTAAATCAGAGGAATGAACTGAGGTCATTAAAGTTTATGTTTTTATTCATTCTACTCATTTTTCTTAGATTAATAGGATATATTCTTAAAGCAGTACTTCTTGGAACATTTTGATTTATGCATTGAAAAAAAGCAGCTTTCATTAATCTCCCAAGTGAATCTCTTTTTTATATGACTGGAGACCTGTGGGGACTGCCAGAGAAGACTAAGGAGGAGAGATAAAAATTATTTCTCTTCTAAAAATAAATAAGATATTTTAAGGAATAGTGAAAACATGTGTGTCATTGAAATAATTTTTATACCAAACTGGTTGTGAGTAAAGTTTTTGATTGTTTTTATTTCATTAAATATTATAAAATTTTGAGACAATGTTACAAGAAATTTTCTTAAGTTTGCATTTCAATAGTTTAAATTTTTGTTAAATGTGGAGTTTTAATCTGTTTTGTAAAGTTATTTTTGCAATTAGCTAAAGACATCCCTTTAAGTTTTCTATGACCATACGTGTCAACACATATTAATTGTATTGTTTAAGAGGTTTCACTGTGGTATTTTATACTAGGACTTATGCAGCTTTGATCAACTTCCTCAACCCTTTTCTTATATTTTCCAGGTTTCCTTTCCCAAACGTCCCCCTTACTCCCTTTTTCAGACAATAAGAGTCCCTCTTCTACTTTCATCTTTTTTTCTATATGACAGAAAACATGTAACACTTGTCTTCCTTATGTCAGGAAAGAGATGGTGACCTAGTTTGAAGCTTCTGCATGTGAATCTCCAGTTTCCCCAGCACTGTTTCATCAAGCACCTGACCTTTCTCCATTTAGCAGCTTTGTTGAGATTCAGGTGGCTGAAAATGTGGAGATTTAGTACTAGGTCTTGTATTCTGCTCCATTTGTCTATAAGCCTAATTTTATGCTAATGCCTGAGGTTTTAGTTACTGTGGCTTTATAGTATGTGTTGGTATCACATATTGTGATGCTTCTACAATTGTTCTTTTTGGAAAATGTAGGTGATAGCATCATCACAAAACTGAAGAGCAAAGAAGGTTTCCTAGTTGTAATTAAAAATGCATCTAACATATCCATATGTGTTGATTATACTCAGTATCTTCCAATATACTGCTATTGCCTTGTGGCTGGGAACTGTTTTATCATGCATCATAGAACTTCATAATACCTAATACAGTTAGTTTCACACACTTAGTAATTTCAGGGGTTGTATTTTATGTATTCAAAAGGAGAATATTATTTGTTTTACAAATCACAATTTCAGATATGTTTGTAAATATACTTAGTATAGAAAGCTAGATATATAAAATATTGAGAAGGTAAGATGCTAAGCAAATATATTTATTTAGTGAATAAAGATAGAAAAGTATTGCATTAAAGGAGCCATGTTCAATAAATATAAAGCATAATCATATGGGGACATTTAAAAGGCTTGATTGTGTATTAATAAAAAATAAAAAGAAGAGATATATAATTAAAGAAGGGATTATAACCTGCTTTTAAATATGTGTGCAAAGTTGTGGATGATTATATGATAGGATTGCACTATGATTATTTTTAAAACACAGAAGAAATAAAAAATTATAGTGAAAAAAGCTGCATAAAGGTAATGGAAATAACTTTTGGATAGAAAGATTGTAGGCCATCTCACAACTGTCTTTTCTTTATGTGCTGGTTCTCTCAGGCCAGTCCTACGTTTGTACCTTCAGATCTTTTGTCCAAATGAGCACTAGCAGTAAAATCATGACTTGTGAACACACATTGCTGTTTCACATTGTTTTCATATCAAAACTACAGAAATTATAGATTATCACTAAAGGAAAAATTGTTTTCACAAGAATTTTCTTTTTTCAAAGAACTTCATTAAGGCAATTTTCACATCCTTATTCTTCAGACTGTAGATCAGGGGATTCAGCATTGGAACAACAGTGGTATAAAACACAGAGGACACTTTCCCTTGGTTCATGGAGCTGACTGCTGAAGGCTGCAGGTACATGAATGCAGCAGAACCAAAGAACACAGAAACAGCCAGGATATGGGAGCTACAAGTGCTGAAGGCTTTGTACCTGCCCTCAGTAGAGCGAATGTGGAGAATACTGGCTATGATGAAGGTATATGAGCTAAGAATAGCCAGGGCTGGGAGAAGAATATTAAATGCACTTAAACACAGAACTACTACCTCATTGATAAAAGTACCAGAGCAGGAGAGCTCTAGTAGTGGAAAAAGGTCACAGAAGTAATGGTTTACTATATCAGCCTTGCAGAAAAGCACTCTTAACATGCAGACTGTGTGAGACATGGCACCAAGCAAGCCCATGCTGTACACCCCACCAATCATCCAGCAACACACTTGAGAAGACATGGTAATATTGTAAAGCAAGGGGTTACAGATGGCAACGTAGCGGTCATAAGCCATTGCAGCCAACATATGACACTCTGCAATAGCAAAAACAAGGAAGAAGTAAAGTTGAGTCATGCATTCAGGGTAGGAGATGACATTCTTCTCCACCACAAAGTTCACCAGCATTTTGGGGGTAATGACAGTGGAATGGCATAGGTCAATGAAGGACAGACTGCTGAGGAGATAGTACATGGGGGTGTGCAGGTGACAACTTAGCCTGATCAGGGTGATCATGCCCAGGTTCCCCACCACTGTGAACACATAGATTCCCAGGAAGAGAAGGAAGAGGGGCAGCTGGAGCTCTGGTTTCTCTGTTAACCCAGCAAGGACAAACTCAGTCACTGTGGAATAATTTCCTTCTGTCATTTCCTTCTGGGATTTCTATATAGGAAAATAACAAAAATTTTGTTATGGGTATTTTTGCACCAACAATGAAGTATAAAACAGAATTTTAGCTTTTTCACACTTGTATCTCCAGTTTTATTCCAGCTTTTCATCTATGTTATATCAATGAACTTGAAATCCCAGATATATGGGAAATGCAAAAAAAAATCTTGGAGAAAATGTCTCTATTGTTTGTGGCATGCTATAAGTGTGGTAATTAGTAGTATTCAGTCCATGAGCATCCAAAGAAGAATTTTGATCATTTATTTTAGGTTTTAATGTGCCATATCCGATTAATTGTAATTCTTTTGTATTAAAGTTGTCTAAAATAAGAGAAATGATGTAAAATTACATGTGATTACACAAAGAGATTCATTAGGCTTACAATGTCAACCCCAGAAGAGCACAAATGATGATCTGCCTGAGGATCTGTTAGGATTTGAAGGCTGAAGTCTAGGAAGCTCACTGGATTCATCTGTGACAGCCCATGTTAGAAGGCTGAAGGGTCTACTGTAGAAGGTTGAAGAAACTGGAGGCAAATGTCCAGAGGCAGCAGCAAAGATTGGAGCTCTTCCAAAAGGAAACAAGCAGTTCTTTCCATTTTCATTCTGTCCAAGCTACGAAACTAATTATTGGTGCCACCAACATCCTGGTGGGTCTTCTCCCCTTGGTTTTCTGGCCTACATGTCAATGGTCCACAAACACACCAAGAACTTTATCTACTAGGTGGTTCTCAAGTCAAGTTGACATACCACAATTACAATCACCTTCCTCAACTTCTCTGCAAAGGAAATACTTTCTCATATTAAAATAACAAGAGAATCCAAAAAATCCCCATAGTCAATACCACACTTAATTATGGACTAAGCTTCTTCCCCTTTGATACTGAGCAACACAAGTTGTCCACTTCCTGACTTTCATTCAGCAATAACTAGAGGGTCTCACTAGGGCAATCAGACATCAAAATGAAATTAAAGGCATCCATATTGGAAAGCAAAAATTAATTATTCTTTCGTCTATTTGCACATAGCATGTTCTTATATAGACAAAATCTGAAAGAATCTATGAAGAAGACTAGTAGAACTAAAGTTAAGCAAGGTGATAGAATTGAAGATCAACATATGAACTCAGTTTTATTTCTACACACTTGTAATAAAAAATAAAAATAATTTAGTTAGAGCATGAATGGATGAAATGCTTAATAATAAATAAGACCCAATCAAAAGATAGGCATGTGAAATGAATAGATTCTTCACAGAAGAAGAACTAATGGCCCAAAAATTCAGAAAGATATGTTCCAGATCACAGTCCATTAGAGAACTGGAAATTAATTTAGCAAAGAGATTGCATCCTATTCCAGAAAACAATGTCTATCATGCAGAAATCAAATTATAACAAGTGCTGGTGATGCTGTGGGGGAAAAAAAAGGAAAGCTTGTACACTATAGAAGTCAGTATGGAGATTTCTCAAAAAACTAAAGTAGAAATTCCATTTGACTCAGCTAGTCCTCTTCTAAGTATCTTGCTCAAAGAATTAAAGACAACATATTACAGTGGTACATATATAGACATGTTTATAGCAGTATAATTTATAATACCTAAACCTTGGAAGCAGCTTGTATGTCCATCAACAGATGAAGAAAGAAAATGTAGTATTTATTCACAATGGTATACTGTTCTACAATAAAGAAAGAGTACTACTCTGGCAAACTTGAGTCATTTGTAGGAAAATGAATACACTTTGAGACTGTAATATTAAGTGAAGTAAATCATACATATAAGCTTAACTGCAGCATGATGTCTCTTATATACTACTCATACATAAAGAATGAGAAATTAGAGACATTTATAGCTAAATGGATACACATTGAGGCCATATTCTTAAGTGAAATAAATAGGACACATGTGTAAATACTGAATAGTTTCTCTGGTGTGAGAAACTGAAAGTGTAACTAAGGACTAAAAGGTATAATAGATAATGTGAAATAGGAAGAAGAGGGACAAAAGGGAAGGGGAAGTGGGAGGGGTAGGGGAAAGGAAAGAAAGGAATGGAATCAATATGAGAAAATGAAAAAATGGAAACAAAGTCTTTGTAAATAGGGAGGAATGGAGGGGTTGAAGGGAATGCAGGCGAATGGGGAAAAAATAAGAACCAAGATAGATTATATAAAGGTACAAATTTTCAATGAAGAATGTCATTATATTGTATACCTAAAATATACCAATAAAATTAATTTTAGAAAAGAAATCCAAAATATAAATAAAGAACAAAATTAAAGTTAGGTAATAAGAAGTATGGAGATGGTATTTCTCAGTGGAAGAGGGGAAGGAAAGGACATGAAAAAAGAAATTAAGATGTGTTATGTATATATATCAACTCCACAGAAGAAATATAAACATTAGGTACTGCAAATATGTGTTAATTTTTTAAAATGCATGATATCACACTTAAAATGAGAAAGAAGCATTGTTAAATGGTACTAAGATCCTTCATACATGGAAAGGCATCTCTTGTTGATAAATCACAAGAATCAGCATTGTGAAAGTGACAATACTTTCCAAATTGATCTATAAATTCAATGATATACCTATCAAAATCCCTACTCTATTATTTAGAGATATAGTCAAAATCCCATAGAAAGACTGGAAAGCTAGAATAATTAAAGCAAAGTTAAAAGATAAATATCAAGTTTGAGGTGTCATATTTCCTCATTTGAAAACTTACTACAAGAGTGATCAAGACAGTGCGGCAGTTTTAAATATAGACATACAGATTAATGAAATAGAGTGGACAGACCAGAAGTAAACTCACGCTTATGATAAATTGAGTTATAGAGTCTAATGACAATTCAAAGAGGAAATAATAAGTTTTTTAAACAGATGGTTCCGGGACCATTAGATAGGTACACGTAAAAGAATTAGCTTGGAACTCTTTCTCATACGACCTACAATAATTTCCTCAAAATTTGTCATAAGACTAAATGAAAGAGCCAGTGCTATTAAAAAATACCATGGGCCTAAGTGTTAGTGACCTTGGGCTTGATGATAGTTTCTTAGATAAGATACCAAAACCAGAGGCTGCTATAGAAAAAATATTAAATTGTGCATCATAATTATTTAAAATTAAACTTGAAAGAACACAATCCAAAAAGTTAAAAGACAACATATGCAATGGAAAAAATATTTTCAAGTGATATAGCTGTAGAAAAACTTATATTTACTAGCATTTTAAAAGCTTAAAGAATAAATATCCCTGTTTAAATATGGTCAGAGGATCTGAACAAACATTCCCATGATTGAGACACATAAATTACCAATAATGCCTGAAAATATATTCATCAAAAACACACTCTTGGGATATGCTTGTTCACTGGATAATAAAACAATATTTAAATTCAGAAAATATATTAAATTTTATATATATATGTGTGTCAAATATCTTAAAATAAATTTAACAGTGATAGCACTAGCAAACACATTTGCTATGAGCATTCAGAATACAGATGTAGTAATATAGAATCCCTACTCTTTAGACTGTTGCAGTCCAAATAGGACAAAGAGGTGGACAAAAAGATAAGGCAATAAATACCAAGTTGACCCAGGCCCTACAAAAACAAAGCTCTTACGGTGTTAGTGCAGAATGGGAATCAATGAAACATGTTGAAGAGTAACAAAATTTAATGCTTATTTTTTCTTTATTTTACAACACGTATTATACGACATGCTTGTTACACAAAAGCACATTTATTAGACAGTGACTTTTAACTCATAATATTCATTTAATTTTTCTTTCCTATTGGCTTATAGTATAAAAACCTATGCAATAAAGTCCCTTAAGGTCTTTAACAGTGAAAATTGTGTTAATTTTGTTTTCTATCTGCATATAAACATGTTCCTTAAGCTCACATGTGGCACATACTTAATCTTGTACCTTACAAGTCACTTACTAGCTTTTCTCCTACACTAAGTTATAAACTCAATGTAGTGCTGGGCACAGTACCTTGCATACAGCAAGTCTCCACAGTACATTTGATGACAATGTTGCAAGAAGTTTACAGATTCAAAACAATTGAATAAAGACTTCACACTTTCTGAGATAAAACAGGTAAACAAAAAAGTGTTTGCTATAATTTTGTACCATAGGAGACAAAGAGAGGAACCTGTACTCATCAGGGAGTGTGGGTCTTAGAAGGAGAAGCAGTAGAGAAAGATCAATTGTCATCTGTATCTCTCATAACACTGGGGAAGACACTGCAGGTAAAGAATCTAAAAATTTAAAAAGCAAGGACAGGGATGCAGACATACCCCTTCTGCTTCCCAGAGAGTTCGGTGCTCTGTATTTTTCTTCTTTACTCCTCTGAAAACAAAGAAGAAAAACAGAGATATGGATAACCTATGTTGTGATAGCCCCAAGGTATGTTTTGAGTCACTAATCCTAACATCTGATGAAGGTGATGCCCAAAGCCACTTGGCCTTCTGCAAAGGTTGGTTGAAATGACAATTTTATATACTGGGTACAAGAGTCTGATTAGGAGCAAACAATGAGAATGACCTCCCAATAGAATCTTATCCCATGAGTATCAACTCTGGGGAAAAGAAACAATTCAAATTTTCCTTTATCCCCATTGATTCTCAAGTGTTTAATATTATCACATATGTGTAATTCTATGTCCTTGTGAGATTTGGGGTTAGGGCAAAGTTGTGAGAAGTATTGTTAGAGTCCTAATGAGTTTCATACCCAGAAATTGAAAAATTCAAAATTTCAGAAACTTTTTAAGACATGCACTAAAGGAATTACTTAAAGTGATTTCTCAAAAGAGAAAAAAACCAAACCAGGGGAAATAACCAAAATCTTTAAAATTTTAAAGGCTTGTATTTTCATTCATTCTACTAATTATATTTAGGTTAGTATGATATACTCATAAAGCAGTAATGCTTGGAGCATTTCAATTTGGGCACTGAATAAATGGGACATTCAAGTGCTCT